TAAATGCTCACTGAACCACAATAATCTGCACTTATTTTATTTTAATTTATTACTTTATTTTATTTTATTTTATTTTATTTTATTTTATTTTATTTTATTTTATTTTATTATTTTATTTTATTTTATTTTATTTTATTTTATTTTATTTTATTTTATTTTCACATCTCATACCATATCTTGCTAACTATTTATCCTCACTGTGTGCTCCGTTCTGTACTTTTTGTTTCGTTTTCTATTGTTTATTTGTTTAAATGAGCTCAAAATTGGGAAGCTTATGTTGTTGTTTTTTAGCTCGCAAAAGGATGGCAGGTAGCTCCTAATGTTTAAGCTCACTAGAGTGCAAATTAGTAAATGTTTAAAACAAATGTTCTGTATAAGTGATTATGATTTATGAAATTATCATTTAATTATTCATTTTGGATGATATTTTGCTATGCTATTGGGTATATTTCTTATGCTATGTTTGCATGCTACCACAGAGTGAATATTCAGAGTAGGATAGTAAACAATATAGAGAGCGCTTCACAGGTTGTCATTGTTGAAGAATGTGAAGAGACTTTCAACCAGCACAAAAAATAGTTTGTGAAGACAATCACTTACTGCACTTCTAAGATAACTTTGTTTAGTTTGGTTTTTTTTCTTTTTTTTTCTACTTTCTATACACAAAAATGTACGGTAATTACACTCATTCGATTTGACTAAAATATGTTCATTCAGGAGCAAAAAACAGAGCTGGTAAATTATTCATTTAAAGACATTGCACTTTAAGGAAAGTCCCAGTGTCATCATTCTGACTCATTGTCTTTGGGAGAGCAAAAATAGCAAAACAGACTCTGCAATACTGAATCTGAAAGTTATTAAAAACGTATATGTTTGTATTGAATTGTTGTGTGAATTTGCAGTAGTGTTAATATGATCTTTGTGAATGGTTGCATCAGTTTGGTACTTGAATATCATATATATTGAAACAAAGTACAAGTATAAGACATGGGAGAAATTCAAACCGTAAACCATCAATCTTAACTATTACTTTTGCATTAAATCATTCAGCAAACTTTTTTTTTTAAAGTTAATTAAAAATGAGATGAGGTAATTAATTACTTTATATGACTTATTTTGGTTGCCCTAGCATTCTGTACACATACTAATAATTCATATCAACCCTACCATTTAAATTTACCTGGTTATTTCAACATTTGTCAAGCCAACATCAAAGTTTGTTTCAAGCTACTTATTATTACTTTAATAAAATATAATTTTTGGCTGTTATGATTTTTAATTTCATTTCAATGTAATATCCCTTTTTGTAATGTTGAGAGTTGTGTGTGTGTGTGTTTGATCCATGAGGAAGCCGCTATTTAATTAGACAGGCCCTCCTGAGGAGCACTCAAGCGAGAACGCTTAAACCCCGCAAGCAACAATCGCGTGTGTTATTGTGAGACTCTCACACACACACACGTAGCTGTCTCAGTGTGAAATGTGGCACTCGGAGGATTTATCTGCTAATTCGGTCTCCTGCAAGGAGACACCACACACACACTGTTTATTTAGTCAGGTTTGAGGGTCCGTCGCTGTGTGGCTGGAAGGATCAACAGTGGGCAGTTAGAGAAACACTCTTTTCCTCTCTCACCTGTTTCTCATCTTTCTTTCCTTTCAAACTAAGAGAGCAGTAGGACTAGACAGATGACTAGAGGGCATGCCCATTGTCTGACACCTGCTGTTTTCATTTTCCATCCCTTTATTTGTTCTCTCAGTCCTTGTCTTGTTATGTCTTTCTCTTGCACTTCTTTTTTTTTTTTGGACCTCATGTTGTTCTGAACTGGGTTCACTTGCTTTAATTTGCTGTCGTTCAATAGCAAAGAAGTCAGTTAAACCTGGAAAAAATACCTGGCATTTGCATTCATCTCTGGCAGTTATGTTGAAATACGTGCTTTAAAAAAAAGAAAAATAAATCAACAAAATACACAATTTAATGAAAAGAAATGCAGGATGAGCAACAATGCCACATAAATGACACATAAAACATATCCTAACAAATTTCAAGGAGCTAAAAAAACTGTTGCACAACTAAGCTTAATCTGTCATGATCAAAGTCAAATGTTGAAATTAATGAAAAGGTTTTTTGCATTATATTTGGATGTGTACATGTAATGTGTACATGTAACGACCAGATTTCTTGCGACACGGGAATACATTTCCAAGATAAAATTTTGTAGTAGTCAGGAACTGTGGTGTAATTTGAGCGGGACCGGGCAATCTAGCAAAACAGCATTCATGAGTCCCAACTTTATTTCGGAACAGCATATCTGTGACTTCCTTATTCTTACTGAGCACCAGTACAGCTAATGATCACGACTGTTATACTGTACATGATGAATACATGAACAGTGCTTTCTGCACATGCTTTTATTCACACAGTCTGTGTAGCATCATCTGCATAACGGTCCTCAGAGTGTAATAATACATTCAAATGGATAAATTTATATATATATATATATATATATATATATATATATATATATATATATATATATATATATATATATATATATATATATATATATATATATATATATATATATATATATATATATATATATATATATATACTGATCTAATAATATAATGTATCTATTATTGTATTGTTAAACTATATATTGTGTCAGTGATTTGCATAAAACATTGGTACCTCTATAAATATTAGTTTGAGTATAGTATATTAGTATTTTTACCTGGCGACGCAGTTGCGCAGTAGGTAGTGCTGTCGTCTCACAGCAAGAAGGTCTCTGGGTTCGATCCTCGACTCAGTTGGTGTTTCTGTGTGGAGTTTGCATGTTCTCCCTGCGTTCGCTTGGGTTTCCTCCGGGTGCTCCGGTTTCCCCCACAGTGTGGCCCTTTAGGCCCATTAGTCCAAAATCTCTAAGAAATATTTCTAGTACTTTGTTGTATCTATGCCATGCAGGCAAAAGGGGGTCCAATGCTGTACTAGTATGGTGTACCTAATAAAATGGCCGGTATATATATATATATATATATGTATGTATATATATATATATATATATATAAATATATATATATATACCAATATAATTTATGTCAATGCATCTATTGATATTCCACTGAATCAAATTGAAGCAAAATTGTATTTTGAACTATTGAGAAATGTCACATGGCCAAAATTATCAAAATCATATGACAAAACATCAGATTTACATCCCTACAAATGCTCATATTAAATGCAGAATTAAATGACATTTAACAGCATATATAAATAGAACAAAGCTGTTTTTATCGAATTTATGCTGACTTTGATGCCAGTCTCTTTCTCATGCCCTCGGCCACTTCTCCACTTCAAAGGGCAATTTGGTGATTAATCATTTGTGTTTGCCCTGCTGGTCTATCCATCCATCTGTGTGTTTATTGGGATCTGAATACACACACATGAACTCGCTGCTTCTGTAGCATGAGGTGAATAATAAACAGCCAGTGTTTACATGCCAGCAATGAGTGCTTTAAACTAAACCAGACATGCCACTGTGGTCTTTTCTTTCTTACATTTTTCTCGTACAATCTCGACTGAATATGGTGATACAAAAAGGTCATGAAAAAAAGCTTTTAAAAACCCCATCTACACCTTCGACCTTGATCCAAAAACTTCCAAAATAATTTTCTCTACAGTGCATTACTGCTTAAATGGATGCATGTTTCTCAATCTCTTAGAAAATGGTGTGTTTATGGAGTGTATTCCACTCATGCTGGGCTTTGCTCGCCTCTGTGATCCTGAGAGAGTAAGCGATAGTTGCTTTTGGCACAGCATAAAGGGTTTTGTTTGGTTTGTCAGTCTGAGTTGATCAGAAGTGTGGTCTCATCCTCCTCTTCGGGCCTCTTCGGAGCGGGGCACCTGACGGCCCGTCCACAATAATCAGCTCAAGCGCGGCTAAGAATATACTACCTGCAGCATAAAGAATACCACCACACAGCTCTGTGTGGTTCAACAAAACAACAGCACAACACTTGACACAAAAGCATTGCTGTTTGACTGCATGATATCAAACAAGTTTTATTTCTTAAACTCACAGAGGTTGTCTTTATTTATATATTTATATTTTGAATTGTATGCATTGCAATGTATTGAAATATAACATATTGATGTGATGGCAACTCATTTTCAGCATCAGTATTTATGTTTTAGTGTCAAATCACTGGAATCATATGTTGGCTTGATGCTCATGAAACCATTCTAATCATTAGTGGCTGTAAACACAGCAGAGATGCTTAATATTTTTGCTTGGAAACTCAGTCCTGGAGGGCCGGTGCCCCGCATATTTTAGTTCCAACCCCAATTAAACACACCTGAACCAGCTAATCAAGCCCTTTATACTAAAAAACTTCTAGGCATGTGTGCTGAAGGAAGTTGGAGCTAAACTATGCAGGACACCGACCCTTCAGGATCGGGTTTCGACACCTCTGCTTTAAACCATAACATAGTTGACAGTAACATAGGCTAAACATATAACAGGCTATACAAGTACTTTTACTGAAATACTGAACAATGATGTGCAGGCTATTGTGTAGCAGAGGTATTTATGGTTGAATATTGTGCAAAAGAGTTATTTAAGGTTGAAGCAAGCAGTGCAACATGATTGTGGAACATTTATAGTAAACATCGTTTTCCTTATTGAGTTCTTGTAAGATGGAGCTTAAATAAAATAAAGTGTCAGGTGCATAAAAAACTGATTGTTTGAAGTAACTAGAAGTAACTAGCTGCTTATCACAAATTATATAGAAATTGTATTATTTTGTACAATTTATAGAGTCATACAGGCTGTAGATTAGCATTCTAAATGTGCATTATCCTTATGAAAAGATATTGCATAGTTCCTACAGAGAAATCAGCTGAAATTTTCTGTTGATGCATGGAACTAGTTTCCATGGCTGATTTGTTTTTCTACGCTTGTCATGTTTGTAAACGTATTGTTCTTTCTGTTAATTTTCTGCAGATGTGATTCTGAAAATCGCTATCTTGGCAACCCACTAAGAGGAACATGTTACTGTAAGTAACACAGAAACACACACGCATGCACACACAAACACACAGGACTGGATGATATGTTTCACAGTTCTACCTCAGTATTTGTAAGTTTATTTTTTGATATTGTATTGGTCTTTTGCTCTATATTTTATTTGTCTTCATTCATTTTTCCTTCGGCTTAGTCTATATTTCAGTGGTCGCCACAGAGGAATTAACCGCCAAACTATTCCAGGCATATGTTTTACACAGCAGATGCCCTTCCAGCCACAACCCAGTTCTGGGAAATACACACATACACACTCATTCACACACACATACACACACTCATACACTATAGCCAATTTAGTTTATTCAATTTACTTACTCTGCATGTCTTTGGACTAGGGTTGGGCGATATGTCAAAAAAATTATCACAATATATATATATATATATATATATATATATATATTTTTTTTTTTTTGACAACATCAATAATTATCACAAAAATGTTTTAGCTGTCTGACAATATACATTAAATAAATTATAAACAAAAGATCTTAATCATTTTTCAGCATTTACTGTTTAAGTTTTCAACAACCAAAGACATTACACTCAGGGCCGGATTAAGAACACATTGGGCCCTGGGGCTATAGCATATCCAAGGGCCCACCTTTTAATTTTTTACCTTACAAAAGTATATATATATATATATATATATATATATATATATATATATATATATATATATATATATATATATAATGTATGAACTTTAAAGTAAAAACAGGCTGCAAAATCAGCAAAACAAAAAAACATTTACAATACTTCTTAAATTACTGCTTTATAATAAATTCTTTAAATAGAGGTTTACCTTTAAAATGGTTCTTTGGAATGTTATAATATCTTTAATATCCATGCTTCTAAGATCCATAATAGCATATTGTGGTCTTCTGAGTTACTGAAGGCTCCTTATTTAATTATTTAATTAATTAATTAATTTATTTATGTTTCATCAAATATTGTCTAATGACATTCAGCACCAATATTTCATTGCTCCATATTATTACTGTAATTTTTATAAAAGGGGCAAAGTAAACATTCATTAAAAAAGTTTGCTTTCTAACTGGTTTAGTTAGACTTACTACAAAGCATAACCCAGTGTATTTACCTGAGATAGATACTTGGCAAGGATAAATGTTTTGATAACTGCTTGTGAAGGCTATTTGATTTGAACGCACACTGTCTCGGTTATAATGTGTGATGAAAGGACTGTGCAGGCGCGGGTCAGTTTGAGTCCAGTTACCACCGCGCGGCCGAGACATCGCTTAAGTTATAAGTCCATTCAGTATGTTTCCGCCTATCTAAGCTTCTTTTACTAAATGTACAAGTTTATCAATGATGAAGACTGTTTGAATTTTATTTTTTGTCCTACAACGAGCTTGGTTAGCCTACCTTTGACAGGACGGTTCTCGCGGTAGTGCCATAATAAAGGACTGTCCTGGGAAAATTAGAACACCTTTCGACCCTTATTGGTGACTGTAACAGGCTATTTAATATTCTAAATAGGCTACAGTCACTCTGAGCCCCAGTTTAGCACTGCCGTCACTGTTTTTGAACAGCAACAAACTGAAAAGAATACTTCACTTTATCGACAAGAGAAAGAATAACACAAGGAGGCGTTTCCCACGTCAAAAGCGGAAATTAATTCTTCAGCCAATCAAGGGCTTCAGCCCGACCTAGCCCTTACGTTAATCATCAGAAAAAAAGGTAAAACAGTTTTTTAACAAGAAAAGGTAGGGTAATGGTGAAAGATTTTTCAGTTTTGGATGAACTGCCCTTTTAGTTGTGAGCGTGGTGAATTAAGGGTGAAATATCCTTTTACCTCTTTTATTTAGGGATGCTAACGATTTCTTGATGATCTATTAATTGTAGATAACTCTTTAATTGATAGCCCTTATCAGTAACTGATTAAGCATGGATATTTAAAGGTTAAGTTATGCTAACCGCTGTGAGACGCTTCCACGACTTTATGCATTACATAATCAAATATGTGCAGTTTACCTTAACTTATAGAGTGACTCTCTCTTAACATTCCATTTTGCGGGACATATAAAACCCTGTTATGCGCAGATCTCGGTTATAGAAGTGGGTGTTTTAACTAGTCTATTCTGACAGATTGGCACAAATAGACCTATGCAGACTTTCATTTTAAATATCGCACATCATGGCAAGACATGCGGGGAGCCTCACAACGAGTTTCAGAGTTCTCCCATCTTTCAGACTGAGTAGGTTCCTTCAGGGTAATCTCAGACTACTTTCAGTGCTTGATTAAACAAATTGAATTGAAACTGTGAAAACATTTTAATGGATTTTTTTTGGTGCTGAAGCATATACTATAAAGCACGGCTATCGAAAATGATGACCATTTGCTGGGTAGTTGCGCTGATACTTGTAGATGGTCCACGTTTACCAACACTTTTTCGGGACTGTAATTTCTTAGCATCTTTACATATATATTAGTGGTATTGTTTTAAATGATGAAACAGGTTTGTGATTTGCCTGATATTGATGGCACGACTCGCCTGCACAGTTTGCTTTGTCATTTTGCTCTGTTTTGTGTCGGATTGTAAAAAATTGAGATGCTTCAGACTACTGAAGTTTACTGACAGTTCTTGTCAACAAGGTCTGTGACTGTAGCTATGTTTCCATCCAAAAATGCCAATAAACTTTATGTACAGAACTGGATTATCGCAATAAAAGTTGTGTGAATAAAGCAGCGTTTCCATCCAATGAGTCAAAGCTTCCTGATTAACTGACGCCAAATATCAACAGCAAAATCGGAATTTGATGAGGTAGGAGAAGCTGTGTGAATCTTTTCTTCATCTAATAAATGACTTGCATCTCAGAACGCAATCCTGACACGCAGTGAACGTGCGTTGGTGTTTAAAGGAGTCAGACACGGAGCACAGACGTTCTTGATTTTGGAGGTAATTAATAATATAATAACACTAATACTGAAAGGATTAAGGCGTTTTAGAATGACCAAAACAACATTTCAGATGTTTTATAAAGTGCTCAGCCTGCTGGTTTGTCCATTCGCACATATTTTTATAATTTTATGATCTCTTCATGACAAAATCACATGATCATTTTAATGCGCATACTGGAATTTGTTCGGTAAAAGTTGTGTTTCGATCACAGTTTATGCACATCTTTTCTTATCGAATAAAAAGTTTATTGTTCTCACTTATGTGCATATGTTTTTTATTTGCATATCCAATATGTGTATAAAAATATTCTGGAAACGTAACTTACTGACCTTATTTTTATTTTTCCTTACCCCATTTTTTCGTACTCTTCCAAGTGCAACTGACACTGTATGGCTGTAAACTAATATTACGCGCAGCATTCGGAGGTGCAGGCTGCAAAATGCCTGTGCAGTGTTACGCATAGTGCATAAACATTATTGAGCAATTATCAAACTGTCATTTTTGTTATTTTGGAAAAATATGTATTGTGATAATTACCGTTATCAAATTATTGCCCAGCCCTGCTTTGGAATGTGGTGGAACACAGAAATGTCAACTGACCCAGCCGGGACTCGAACTTGAACTTCCTCCTGTGAGGCGACAGTGGTAACCACTACGTCACCATGCCATCTTTTATTGGTCTTTTTGAATGTATTAACCTTACGCAATTCTATAATTTTGCAATCATTATCAGTCTGAATGCAAAGTTTGAATTTGCTACATTCACAAAGTTATTTATTTCTATGAAGACCAAGAAATTGCAAATAATCCTTAAGTGCAATATTCAGCATTCACACAAAAGACCTGTTTTAATCCTACATTTCACCTTTGTGTTTACACAGTAAATATTCACAGCACCTTCTGCAAGTGCTGCAGATGGAAATGTTTCTCTGTAACCCCTCATCAGGACTCCATCACACAAGCATTCATCTATTCTTAGCAGTACAGCACCCCTTGTGTTGTTCATTTCACCTTCTGTCTGCTGTTGCTTCATGTGTGTGTATGTGCGGGTATGTGTGTGTGCTTCATGTGGGTGTCTTTTATTTGTCGACCTTGTCACTGAATGCCAAGAGCCTAGTCTAAAGTGAAACATGTGTGCTCTTGGCTTTGCCCACAGCTGAGATGTGTGCTTCACATGTTGTTTGTTTGACCAGGTTTCAGTCTAGTTGATTGTGGATTTCAGAGAGAGTCTACGTTCTGTCAGTGTTGTTGTTAGAGAGAAAACAAAGATGAGCAAATAAAAGACTAATCTAAGTAAAAACTTAAATAAGTAGTGGTATTTATCAATATTTACTAAACAAAAAGCTTTTTAAAAAAGACAAAACAAAACTGAAACTAGCAGCATCTTGGAAACAAAGAACTCATTTGACAGAAATAAAAACAAGCAAAGTTTAAAAAGCTTTTCATTTGCTTGCTCAATGTAAAAGGATTTAAATGTAATAATTTTCATTTATTAATGGCTTTCTTTATTGCCAACGTGTGAACAGAATCTTCTGAAGCTTAAACGAATGAAACCTGTAGAATGATTTGTATTGAAAGGACTTTTCCACACACTTTTGTAAACAAATTAATATAATTTAATAACCCAATTTTAAATAAAGTTTTACATTATTATTAATAATAATAATAATAATAATAATAATAATAATAATAATAATAATAACAAAAATAATAATAATAAATCATTTATTCATCCTTTTTCTTTTCAGCTTAGTTTATTAACTAAGCTTTATTAATCTGTGTCGCCACAACGGAATGAACCGCCAACTTATCCAGCATATGTTTTGCGTAGCGGATGCCCTTCCAGCTGCAACCCATCACTGGGAAACATTCATACATACTCATTCACACACATAAACTATGTAAAATTTTGCCTATGTAAAATTTTGCCAATTCACCTGTACCACATGTCTTTGGACTTGTGGGGGAAATTGGAGCACCCACGCCAACACGGGAAGAATACAGATACACCAGCTGACCCAGCCGAGGCTCGAACCAGCGACCTGTTGTGA